AAAAAAAAAAAAGAAAAAAGAAGAGAAACAAAAGTGTCTCCTTTAGGAGCCTTTCTTCTCTCACAACAGTTAAGAAGTAATAGAGATGCTCAGATGAGAGGATTAAAATATGTCTTTAGCCTGAAAAACTGTGCCCTGTCTAGCCATCAGAAGTTGAAGCATGAATGTTCTCTTAGCTCCTCCTTTACTAGTGCTTTACTATCATTTCCAATGCCTTACAATTGCATTTTGTGATCTCATGAGATGTGCTTGTCAACTCTTAGTATTTTTTAAGAAAAAAAGCTAAATAATAAAAGCACAGGACATAGTTCTTCTACCTCCTTTTCTAAGATAGGTTATTGTTACACACTCCTTGCTTTTTATGGTTAATAACTGCACTTTATTATTGCCTTACAAGAGATGCTTGTAAACTCTTCATGTTTTTAAGGAAAAAAGCTAAAAAATACACAGAAGAATTTAATGTCCTGACAGGCAAAATATTATAAAAAAATTTTATCCAACCCAAAACATATTTAGAAGTGCAGCTAAGCAGATCACGGCGGCAATATCTTAGTCAGATGCACCCCAGTAGAAAGGTGCTGGAAATCATGACTGGTTTTTGCAAATAAAAATACACACCTTTACATGTATATCCTCAGGAATATTTACTGTCTTGTCAATAAATTTGTACAATTCCACATCTGCTATTTCTCAGAGTTGTTACTTACCCCAGTTTTATCACAGAGACGCAAAGTATGAAAAGACCCCACAGCAAATAATTCTCCATCCACAGCCCAGGCAACAGATGTTATAGGATATTCATGGGGCTGTGAGCTGTACAGTAGACGTCCATAACTGTCCCACACCTTTTAAAAAAATTAAATATATATCAATATGAACATAGTTTGGGTGTACCTTTACTTATTCTAGAGCTATCATTTTCCCTCATCACCACAGAAGTTGCAGAAATATACCCTCTAAGTTACTTCAGTGCCTTTCTGTATAACTAGAAAAATCACATGTATTATAGTTCACTTTTCATTAAAGGTTGTTCCTAATCAATAGTGGTTTGTTTAATGCAATAGGCTTTGCTTTGCTGCTATGGCAAATGTTACTTTATTCTGTATAAAATATTTCGAACTAATGAGTTTTGTTTCCTGCAAATTACTGTAAGTCTGTAAAATAACCACAAGGTTTATTCTATTTGCACTCATTTCCCAACAATGCGAGGCACCTCTGCAAATTTCCAGACCAAAGAGATTTTCTCACTGATTGAAGCCAACAGAATACCAGGAAGCCAATTCAGAGAATGAAGTAATTTGATTTTAACACTTTGATAATTATTATTTTTTTAATTTATTAATTGTGTACATTTTTATCACAGCCATTATACACTTAGAGAACCAACATACGATAGAATTAAAAATAAGTTCCTACTTAAGGGAAGAAACACAATATGTGCTTTCCATTTTGGATACAGAATATTCTAACTGAAAAATTTCCTAAGAGATTCACTAATGTTCCTGTAGTAGAAAAGAGTAGCTTTATCTCCTCTAATTTTATATGTCATTACCTTTTTCAGTATGTGTCATAGCTTATACTATTTCAAGTAATCTTTTCTATATTTCTACATATTTTCCTTTCGGAGTTTGTTTCACTTGCATTTTATTCTGCTGTATTTAAAAAAAAAAAACATTTCTAATTTTATGCTACTAGTCAGAGCGAGATGTATTTACAAATAATACAACTTAGGGTAACAAGTTTTTCTTGAAAACTGAAAGACTTCTCATTTAAATTTGAGCTTCCAAGTATTATTAAAATTAGAAAACGTCAGAATGCCTAATATCTTTTTTGGTCATTTAGTCTCCCCTAGAAAGTTAACCAGTACTCACCTTATATTTACAATCTTCACCTGCAGAAAGAATAAGATCATTAACTGAGTTCCAGTCAGTTTTTAAAATAAGTCCATCATGGGCTTTCCACTAAAATGGAAAAAAATAAATTAAACATAGATGCAACAAGTCTGACAACTTTTATTTTTAATATTTACCATTCATCATTTACTAGCATTCATACACTCCAATGTATATCAGGCTTTCCAACAGTACAAATGCACAGACGTCATCTCTTCTGCAGAAAAATAAATTAAATACGGCCTGAACAAGGCAGAATTAAAGCATAACAATCTGCACTAAGAGCATGTTCTAAACGATTGCTTCTGCACCTTTTCATAACAAATGAAAAGGGAAAGACTTCTGTATCTTTTTGCTTTTTCTTTATTTACAAAAAGCAAAATGCTTAATCACATGCCTGAAGAATATCCATAGCAGAAATTGTAAAAAATTTTTTAGTTTAGAGAAATGAACAATCTCCTTATTCTCAAAAAAACTAAAAAAGGCGGGGGGGGGAAATGAGCAGTACAGATGCTGCATGGAAAATTTTAGCACAAACATTTTATGTTTGGCAAAACCTCTAGATAACTGAAAAAAGTTTTCACATGGAAGTGTGAGACAACTGTAATGTATGAATGATACCTGCAAAACTTTAGCATTTGGCTGAAGAGGTTTAATAATCAGATGCTTCCCTGAAGTATAGAGAACTTTTTCAGAATCAGGTCCCCAGGCTACTGAGTACACTGGTGTTCCTGCAGATAGAAAGAAAAAAACATTTCTACAACTTATCTGATCAAATTATGCAGAAACTGCTACAGCCACTTCAAACTGGTTACTTAAAATCATACATCAAAAATTCAGGAGTGGGAGAAAGCCAAACTAGGGGCAACCATTTGTCCTCCACACTTGTCTGACTGCACTTACGGCCATGTTTACTGGTTCACTTCATCTTTTAGACAGCCATAGGAACAGCAGTTAAGAGACAGACACAATCCAGAAAGACAACTGTGAAGACTTCAGCTCATGCTGCATACCCTTCCAACACTCCTCAAGGAAATAAAAATACATAGGGTGAAGTCCTGGCACACTCACTTGAGTAAACCGTCAAACACCTATCACTTTCAATAGGACCGTTCTAAATTTAACTCTGAACAAATCAGCTCTATGCAAAACAAATGAATTGATGGCTTGTCCAATACTAGATCCGGGTTACTGAAAATGTGTATGACTTTACTCTTGCTATAGGTATCTCCTTTACTCATATTTACCTATCAATTTTTTCAATGCATCACTTAACTTTTAAGACCTACCCATTTTATTGCAAGGTCTGTCCCAACAGACTCCGACTACATTTACCACTTGTTTCTTCATTTCATGCTCTCTCTAAAACCACCTCTGGAAAAATTAAAATCACAAAATTTCTTCTTCTATTATAAGATTTCTTCTCCAGTCAAATCATCTTCATAACTAGACAATTTTGTTTCTTCAGCTTCACTGAACCTCATGTATATACTCCCAATTGTTTTTGCTTCCCCACTCTTAAAATAAAAATAAAAATCTGACCAATTTATTCCAAGATATAGTTGAGCAAAGTAAGATGAGATTGTCCTTCGTACCTTTGGGTTGCCTTTCATCTTTAAGATGCTTCCCTCTCATCTTGATGTACTGATTCCCTGGCTCATGGCTAACTGGGACATTGCAAAGATTTATGTTGCCCTTTCCATTTGTACAATTTTCTCTCTTATATCAAACAAAGCCCTTCATGGCCAATTTACTTTTAAGGTCTATCACATAATGGCATCTTTCATTCAGTATTAAAATGTTAACTCTTCCCAACTGATCAGTCCACAAAGTCAGCCTTCAATGCCCAGCTGTCAAATCTTCAGATCTTCTCTCTTGCTATCTGTTTAGTTTGTAGACACTTCCTACAAATACCTACAAAAGCATTTCATGTTTACCTTGAAAGCCCTGCAAACTTGTTTGCCAGAATACCTACAATATGATTAAATCCAATGCTGAGACCACTATGATGCTGACCAATACCTAATTTAAAACGAACAAATATTTGTATCAAAAGTAAGCCCAGCAAGTCGGGTAGATGGTCCACCATGCCACCACCTATCATTTTAATACTGTGTTTTTAATATTGCATCTTTCTCAAACCTCAATTTCTATTGCCATTTACCATGCTATTAATTTGTAAAACTTTTTATAAGTGAACAGTTTCACACAACTCCAGAAAATTAACAGCAATAGCTGCATTTTATATTTACTTAGTCTTTTATACTCTGATGCAATTTTATTCACAATTGTCACTTAAGAGACACAGAAAATCAACATGTCAACAATCATCCTAATACTTATCAAGAGACATCAGAAAATAGCTCTTTTCACCTACAATGATGAGACTGAACACAAACGTGGGTAGAAAAAACTTTGTATTGCACCTACATTATTCTTTGTAAAGTGTTTAGGCTCCATAATTAAGCCTCCTAACAAAACACGTATTTTTGTTTTGCTGCACGTATAAAAAACCAAACATCCCATACACAAGCAACTTACAAAACAAATGCCAACAAATAAAACTAGAAAGAGTGGCCCGCAGACTTCACAGATTTTTCCCAATTAACTGAAAACATTTTTTTTCAGATTGAAAACTTCAGGATGATGTATCTAGAATAAAGCTGACTGTTCCATTTTAAAAACATACTATCTTGCAGTTTTCAAATGACTTCTTTTGAAAATAGAAGAAAGTAAAAAATTACGTGGAAAAAGCATCCAGGGGGGGGAAAAAAAAAAAAAATCAGACTTGCCAACTATGCAAATATTTTCCATAGTACCTGACAGGATTAGACTCCCCTGAAGAAGAAGAATCAAAGTATTACACTACTTGTTTCCTTGCAAATAAAACTAAGAAAATTGAGAGATGTCCAAGCATTTATTTCTATCACAGCAAAAGCCCTGTAGCAATGGACAGCAAGTTTCAGCATTACAAGACGTGGAAACAGTGCATATGAAACTGCAAGGAGGGAGACTGTATAACAAGTCCCTGCCAGACCTTTCTTTCTTTTTACTTTTTGTAAAACGTGCTTCCTGAAATCAGAAAGAGAAGGCTTATTTCAGGCATCTGTTTTTCTCTAACAGACTTAATATTCTCACTGGCAGAAATGAGGCCTCTGAAGACACGATTCAATTTTCTAAACACAAGCACCTAAGGGATCTAAGGCATCTAGGGTACTCTAAGACACCCATGTGGAGCTTACAGATACAATGCAGGACCTGAACGAGATCCATCTCCTTCTGGAATAGATTTGGAGGTTAGGCAGAATAGCCCAATGAACCTCAAATGGCACTATTGGCACACTTACATTAACACAACTGAATTTACCCCAAAAATTCTGTTTGAGAAATAAAAAAAGTCAGAAAGAGCAACTGTTACAACCTAAATGTTGGTATTTGACAATTTCATAATTTTAGAAGAGGAAAATGGAAAGAAGTTCTCCTAAATTCTCAGAGATATGCACTTCTTAGAGAGTCATGCATATTTCAGCTGATAACTAAGTATCTAATTGATCAAATTAATTAAAATTTAGCAAATAAACCATTTTTTGTACATCTATAATTTATGGTAATAAAAAACCCCAAAAGGCTTAAGAAATACCCTTACAGGGTAAAATTTTCAAAGACACTTCTGGCATATTAAGTTCCATTTCAAAAAACGACTCAGGAATATCTTTTTATGGGAATATTTTGATGAGATTTAGATACTTAAGCGACTGAACTGCTATATCAACTGTCCTAACATCATCTAATATCTTACCACTTAAGCCTTCAAATTTTCTTTCTGAAGAAAAAACTGATTTTATTGCGGCCACATCAATCAGCTTACTAAACTTGATTTGAGCTTCCAATGTTCAAACTCTAAACTGAGACCTGGTGTCATTGCTCCTGAATATTTTTGTACTTCGTATATTTTCTTTTAGGAAGGCATTTATTTTATGTTATTTAGAAATACAGAATGATGTAATTTTTTTTTTTTAACTTGTCAACCATTATAGGAGACACAACTCATAGAAACATACAACATATATTAAGTAAGTCTGGCACTAGCTATTTTCCTACTGGCAGCAATTTATGTTGAAAATGACATAAATTCTGTCACCAGCTGCACAGAAATTCTAAATAAACTAATTTTTGTCCTGCTCTAATGCTGATTTAACAATCAGAAGACTTTTATATTTAAACCAAATGTTTAACTTTTTTATGATGGCTGACTACTTAACCACAATTTCCAGGGCTTAACAGCAGGAGCTAAGTTAACTCATTTCCTTCTGCACTTAACAAGAACTTGGTTGGGAAAAGACTGCCAACACATTGCATTGCTGCGGAAAGAAAAGTTCAGCAGAACAGGCAAACTGCAGTGAATTGCATTGGTGATAAACAGTTTCAGGAAAAAATACTCTCTGAGAAAAGAAGTGAGAAAAGCAGAAAAGGTGAGATCTGAAGAAGGAACATCAGCATTAAGCATACAGGGTGGCTTCTTCACATCTCAGTGCTCTACTAGCAGATGTTAATCCCCGTAATGAATCACTCCCGTGGCCAATGCATACAGCAGAGAAAGGGTGAGGGTTGAGTACAGGAGTGACAGAGCAGTCACTCTGACACTTTCAGCCACAGCAGATACTTTGGTAATTGTAACAGTAAGTCTGTGTGAGACTTTTTACTTTCACAGGAGTAGAAACATTAATTCAGACAATTTTATGTCTCTCTGTGGCAGCACAGAAAATAGGAGCTGCATTAGGAATACAGTTGTCCCTTAAAAATAATTTCCACTTCACAACAAACATGTTGTAATTAAACTGTTTACATTGCAACTGTAGTGATTTTGCTTCCATTAACCAAAAAGGCAACCTATACACCAATTATTCATATTACTTCTTGGTGCTTACTCAGCATACTAGTCACTGGAAGCCCATCAAAAAGTCAGCAGGACCAAAAGACAAGTACTCAAGAAAGATATGGTCTTAAGAGTATTAGATGACAAATTAAATTTGAAAGAAAGGTGACAGAAATCACCTGAAGAACTAGAAATCCATCTGACGTAAACCGGTAGAATGTGTGGCACAGAAACAATGGGTCTGTGGATAATGATGTTTAAATGATAAATAAGTGTCATATACTTTTATAATGGGAAGTCATGACTTCACCGAGAATAAAAAAGCACATGGACAGCACTGACATATTGTGCACAATGTACGTGTATTTTCATAAAAGTTATGGTGGTGTCCTTCACCAAATGCTTTTAAAGAAAGGAAGTTTTCATGGCACAAGAAATAAAGTCATCCTGTGGATTTAAAATACGACTTTCACGCAAGGAATTACTCCTGTCTTGACTAGAATTAGGGACACCAGAATAGTTACCAGGATCGAAGCAGGTGCTCTAGCAATGAAATACTTAGGGTGGATCCATGAGGCTTGCTTGCTTGCTTTCCCTGAAGATTCTCAGATCATGGAGAAAGAGTAAAGTTATCAGCAAAGCTGTCAGCTTCACTAGTGGGATAAGCTAAAGAAATTGCACTGCAGAACAATCTTGATTGTAGTGAGGAAGGCACAACTGAACTCTACTTAATTTTCAGCTTGATCAATACCTTTGACTCTGTAGAGGACTTCGAGGGTTAGAGAGCCAGTGGTTTACAAATCTCAGAAGTAGCAATTTTAGACAAACATTTCAAGAGAGGCTATGCAACTGTGGGTTCAGCACAGGTCCTGCTAACCAGATGTTTGGCCCGCGAAGGACTCAGTGCAGGTGGCACCACTAACGCTGCAGACTTCACCCCAAACAATTTCAGTGTCAGAACCTACAAAGCACCGTAAAAATTTGTGCATTTTCTTTCAAATGTGAACCTTCAATACATCCTATTCTTCACAGTTCTGTGGCCTCTCCAGAGGAACACAGACACTTTCAGCACAGCGTCATGCTGCAATGTATACATCACAGAATACACAGATAAATCCTGCTTTAAGCATAATCATGTGGGTTACCAACATATACCAAAGAGACTCATGAAAAAATACTATCTCATCAAAATGTATCAGTACACTGTGTCAACTAGAAGCTCAAAGGATTGCAAATACAGCTTTTTTAAAAAAGCTTTCAGTTTAATGAAAAGGAGGAAGAAAAGGAAGAATATTAAGATAATCTAAGAACAAAGAAGTGAGATCAGGCTCAAAGAACAATGCAGCCATAACAGCAATATTACAACTCGAGACTGAATGCAGTAGAGGCTACAGGGTCACACTAGCTTTATTCCATGTATCAGCATGATGGAAGGACATGCAACCAGAGCCTTCCATATAAGTACTGAAAAAGCTAAAAAAAGGGAAAAATGTATGTTCATGTTTTTGTAGTGAATAAAAATCCAAAGATAGAATAGGCATGTGGACCATCATCCAAAGATAAAAGCCTGAAAATTTACTTCTAATACAAAGAGTGGAATGTTAGCAATGGTAATCCTTTCATTTCTCAAAGAGATGATAAAGTGAAAGATTAGCTCAAGCATCATATACCTTTCATAAACAACATAACAATTTCTGCAGAATCTTATCCTGATCCCAGGTATGTCAGTAGCTTACAGAGGGGTCTGTGAGAATCTGATCCTATAAATTTAAAGTTTAAAGGGTTTCTGAGCCTCACAGGATCTTATCTTAAAACACAAATACAAAAAGACAATTATTCCATGGGGAGTCAACTGTACTTTTATACTGTACCAGAAACTCTAAGAAATCAATGAAAATTCAGCTTGCGTATTTCAAACTAGAACATGTCTCTTACTCTGTAAGCTTCATCAAACCTCAGATAAGCACAGTTAAACATAAAAAAGCTTGAAACATATCAACTGAGAAATAGTGAAGTGTGTGCTTCAACTTTTTTTTTTTCCAAAAATTAGAGTTCAGTTGGCTTATCTTTTTACATTGTAAGCATGAAAAAACACTACATCTGAATATGAACTTCCTTAACAGAATTGAAATACATTTTACATTCACTCCTGTGGTTAAAATGCCTTCAACAGGTTGAAAGAATTTAGATAATTTGTTTTAGAAAGAGATAAGGGTCTGACATTTAACACAACCCCAGGTGCATGTGGTTTCTTAAAAAATGTCAAAAGGTCACATGATCTCAATGTATGAAGTCTGAAAAACAATATCTAGCTCAGTATCTTCACCAAAATAGTACAAAAATGTTAGAAATTATGATTTTAAAAAATAGCATTTAAAAAATATCAAACATCATTTGTATAAATATGTATTTGCAGCTTATACTGTTGTATTTTACAATAATGTCATTTTAAATTGACTTAAACAGCTGGAATGCTCTAGTATGCATAAAACTGTAGTTACAAAGCCAAGACCAAGGTTAGGTCTCCATGGCCCCAGTTCAACAAAGAACTTAAGCACGGGGATCATTTCACTTCAGTAGGACTGTTTGCATATACTAAATTAGTTACCGGGTTAAATAGACAGATGAACCAAGGGCTGTTAAGAATTTTAAAGTTCAGAGGAACTAACCTACACGCACTTCGCATCTTTCAAGCATTCTTGCAATGCTTTCAGAGATTTTTTTTTTTTTTTTTTTTTTCAGTTTCACCATAAGATTCTGTGGCTTGGTATTAAAAGCTGGATTTTTTAATTCTTAATTCTTTAGCCTGTCCAGAATCCTTAGGGTGGAACTGAAACTATTGTCTAAAAACATTGCAATAATGCTTTTAAATTGAAGAATTTTTTTTTTGTAAGATAATAATTTTAAATATTAAATATTAAAAATCCAGTTCCCCCTGTATTCAACTATGATTTAAATTTTATTTTAGTTCAGTTTATCTAGGCCTTAAGATCCTTAAACAAACATTTACTGCTAGATTTAGGGTCTGTTAATTAAATATATTTCATAATACCCCAAATTAAAAAGTTCTCATGGAACTTTAAGAAAATTAACTTACCTTGCTGAGCTAAAGTAGATCTCAGCATTCCACTTTTAGACCAGATTTTCACTTGGCCATCTTCACCAACTGTAAAGTTATCACAGAAATCATCAACTTAAATGCAATAGTAAGTCTAACAAACATGGCACTTGTATTTATCTAGGAAACACTAGAGTTAAAATAAGTCCAGGTCTTCTTACAGGTTAACTACTGCTTATGTAGTCTTCCTAACATGCAAACAGATAGTATATTATGGAAAAAAAATTCAAGACTGTTCTTCTGCTATTATCAACAAGTCTCTTCTTCTCCTGAAAATCCCTATAGTCTTCTTATCTGAAGCTGCTCCTGGGAAGAGAAAGTCCATCACTATTTAAGTAACCCAAGTTCTGTATTTTCTATTCAGCATTGCTATTACTTTTCATCTATTTACAGTTCAATGGCCCAGAGGCTGATTAAATGAGTCTCTGAGGAGTCTGAAGAGAGTAGGAACAGATTTTATGTATTAAACTGGAGGCTTCACAGTTGATAAATGGTGAAACTGAAGATAACTGAAGGCTCCGTTTGGAAGGCTTAAATTTTATAACATTACTGTGTGTTACCAAGAAACTAAGTTTACTTACTAAAGATTAAGTTCTTATACACTATACAGCATAGTTATGTATGCATTAAGAACACAGATTTCCTAGTGCGCTATCATATTTAAAACGTACAGCTCTGGGCCTTCATTTAGGCCTCCCACATTCAATTAATGAGGAAAAAGGTGCACCTGAAAGCTTAATGCCATTCTTCCATTCAAAGGTAATTTACTTACCAGATTTCAGGTTTTTATATCTGGCCGATGTAGCTTTTAAGTGTTTAAAAAGTGTAAAAAAAAATTTTAAAAATCTTATTTGTGCACATATGATACTGTTAAAATAGAGCCATAAAGAATATTTTAACTGATACGGTATCACCAATGATTCACTCTTCGTTAAAGTATAGTTGCGGTATAAAAGTAGTTGATCTTCTCAGAGTACGCTGTTTGGATATGGTGATGAATTCCCATACTCCCCATAAGTGTCATGCAGTCTTTCCAAAAAAAAAAAACCAAACCAAAAAAACATTGAAAAGACAATTTTAACTTTTTCTTTGGAGAAGTTCCTGAGGCAAATCTGTCTTTAAAAAGAACAATATTTCTATCCCTCTGGGATTTCAGAGGAACATGCCAGACAGAGTTCCTTGAAGCAGCATTTTAGAGTCAGACTGAGTCTGGAAACAAGCTGATCCAAAATTATCTTCAGTACTTCTGGACTGAGTTGGAATTTGTCCAAAGAAATCAGCTGTGCTAGATCAACAGGAGGCTGCAGAAAATTCTGACACCAACAGAAATTCCGTAAAGGAGAAGTCTATCAGAGTAAATTTAATTAGCTCCCCTTTAAAATCAAGATAGAAGTTTTTGACAAAAATGCCAAAAGCAACTAATTACCAAAAGATTTAGGACAAAAAGACATGTAGAGATGCAGACACTGGGAGCTCACTCTCCCAGCCTCAGTAGAGAAGAGAGTTAGACTGCAGCTGGATCTACACCACTCCTAATAATTAAGAAAGAGCAGCACAGGAACATTCAAGATGCTCATGAGGCCTCAGTAAACTTTGCTGGATAAAAAACCCCAAATGTCATGTGCAGAGATATAAATGTACCAACTTAGCAACCTTTTTTTGTAACAGATAAGAAAAAAAAAAAAATTCTCCTTTATGAAGTATAGAGCATCCACAAAAACATCTAAGCACTGATATTAAAAACATTTTCTTTCAAGTAAATAGGATAACATCTAATAAATAGGATCACTAAAAAAAAAAAAAATGTTTTCACTAGATCTTCTACTAATTAAAATAGATGACATTCTTCTAAAACAGCATTAATCAAATAGTGGAAAATTAACTTCTATTAAAGAAGGTGATAATAACCCCAGTGATAATGAAGACATAAAAAAAGTAACTTACTATAGCTAACTTCATTTAAATTGTTGATTTTGTGTTTCCATCTCCCCCTTCTAACGAGGACTTCAAGCTAGATCAGTGTGTGAACACTTAATAGACTCAGTTTTATTCATTCAAATTCAGTGTAACTACAATATAAACAATGAAATTTAGGATTACATCTTCTAAACATATGTCAAGGATTAAATTATTTTTCCAAAACATTCTATTGTATTTATCCCGTAGAATAAAGTACTTACATTCTACATATTCTATTGAATGCACTCACTTTTCATAAATTTTGTTTAATACTCTATTTTTGTACCCTTAAATTTCTTCATGGCATGTCAACTTTGTATATTAAAAAAAAAACAGAAGGCTTTATTTTGAAGGAGCTCTTCTGTTATTTTAGTTTTCAAAACACTTCATTACTTTAAGAATGCTTACCTGTAACCAGTGCTGTTCCTTCGTAATTCCACCTTCCTGCAAGTACAGCTCCACAGTGTGCTTCTACACTTTTCTCTACTCTTCCTAACTTTGAAATCAAGTGGAACTTCCCTAAACAAAAGTTCAAGATACAAATAGTATATCTAATTTTGTGAATCGGTATTTAAAACTGTAATGGTGTTATCTTCTGTTAAAAATGCACACACAAAACAAGACAAGAAACCAACAACAACAACAAAAGAACAAAACATGCAATTATGTTGTTCAGAGCTATGATTAGCCCAAACAAACGAGCTCTTGCAGAAGAACTACTCGTAAACTAGCTACAATGTTGTAATTTTTTTTCTTTTTGGTATGTATAATCTTTGTTTTGCCTATTCATTTTTCTTATGTCCCTCTAAAGTTTGCATGTTTCTCTGGGGACACAAATACCTGATGTTATTTCATTGTCTGAAAGCTAACAAACAGAGGTATACACACTGCAGCCCATGAGAGTCCTTGTGGTTTGTTTTTTTTTTTTAAGATCTGAAAAATCACTCAGCACCAAAAGGATAATGGAAAAGCTAGAACAATCTGACCATCGATGAGCGCGTTACTCTGAGGAAGTATTACTGCTTGCATTATGGAGCTGTTATGGAAATTCACAGAAGCCAAAAACAAAGCTATTAATGATTTCAACAGAAGCATGAGGAAGTCTTTCTTTCCAAATGAGGGATGTTGCTTAAATCCAGGAAGATCAAATTTAAACTGGACCAAAGAGCAGACAAAGTAGGACTTGGAAACATGCGGCAGAACAAACGCATGGCTTAGAATAGTCCAGTGATTCAAATTAACTACTTTAAAACCAAAACTCTTTTTAAATTATTTTATCTAATCTGCCAGACAGTGAGCCACTATAAGCAATTTCCAAAGTGACCAGAACTCTTTGAGATAAACAGTACACAGATACCTCACACTAAGTGTGTGCAAATGCTCTGTCCCTTAAGATGGGATAATTTTTCCATTAATAACATCCTGCTTGGGAATATGAATTATAAAACAGGACATACCTGATGAGCCAGAACCAGAAACTAAATACCTGACTATTTCAGTAAAAGATCACATTATCAAGACCAGTATGTGTATGCAGGTGATAACAGAGTTAACTATGAACTGCGTAGAAGGTAAAAATGCATATCACTGCATTAAATGCACATTCAAATCACAGTAGCCAAGATGACAAAACTTAGGTGGCCTGCACTGCCAGAAGCTTGAAACAACTTTTATTGTGTTCTGATTTCCCGTGTTTTATTTTGCACTTCAATTTAAAAAAAACAAACAACACAAAATAAACACCACCAACAAAAAACAAAGCCAAACTAAAAACAAAGAAAAAGCATTCTGGTAGCTCTGTCAGTAAATAAGCATGAAACATACATCAGGGTTCTCCATAGTACTATTCAAATCAATACAATCACACTTTGTCTTCATTTTACTTTTAAGTACATAAACAAAAAAGCACAATCATCCAGCCAAATGCAAGATTTCCAAGCAAAAGATTTTTAACACTGAAGAAGGATGGTTTGTATAAATCAGTATATTTGAACAGACCATTTAAAATACCATACACTGAACTATACATTTTTGCTTCTCTTTATCACTTGTATTCATATCTACCACAGTACTCTGAAGAGCTAGTTAATCCCACTTTTTTCTGAATTTACAGAACTAATATTATTTACTAAGACCATTTCTTCCTCATTCAGTGAATTTTTAGTTTCCTAAAATTTTCAGTACTTGTATTCTACATTGAATGCATTATGTTTTTTTATAATTATAGACTATATTTTATATGCTTAATGCATCAGTTATTTTATAGAACATCTCTCAGGTGTGAGAGTCACATTTTTTGTGTATAAGCAATAACTGGATTCACAGGAATTCCATGGCTAAATGCAATTTTCTCTGATTAAATTGTCAAAATGGCCTTTTCTGGTTTTAAAATAATATATTAAAAAAAGTTTTATTTTCTGATTGCCTGTCTTTTTCGATGCATAGTGTACTTGTTCAACCTGTAGCCAAGACCTTTTTCATTGCAGAATACTTAAACCTCTTCTGATCATAGGACTATGAATATTCTCATGCCATCATGTACAGTATTCATCATTAAGTGGCTGAGCTTTTCATAACCATTATGAACATATTTCACTAATTTCCCCTGGGAAAAAAAAAAAAAAAAAAGAGCTTTGCAAATCGGGAGCTAACATACACAGAGATCTAACTCAAAGGCATCCATCAACTTCTGGTATCCCATCTGAAACATTCAGAATACTTTTTTAAGGATACAAATAATTCTATGTCGTTTTATAAATTGAAACAATAGCTTCCACTGACCCAGGTAGAATCCGTTAGACCTCAATACTTCTGTAAGCAAACCCCTCAAAACATAAGAGAAAAAATAAATTAAAATGAAAGAACAGACAGTTGGCAAGCAACTGCATACTTCGGTTAGGTCACATTATCAGGAAAACAATGGGCGATATCACAGAATACAGGATAAAATCCTGTTATATAGGGAAACATGCAACTCGTTTACTAATCTTTTGCATCCTTTCCCACTCCACAAGCTCTTACTTCTTTCACAAGGCATCTTTCAAATAGTGAAACATAGCAAATTGTAGCCTAACAGGAAAGAATACAGT